TCCAGCAGGTTTTTCTAGATTATTACTTGTTCTTTTGTAGTTCTCTATGAAGTTTCTCCATACTATTTACATTCTTTACATGTACAACCTCTGCATCCATTAGTTTTCATGAATGTACTGTAGTTCAAAATGATCATTTGCCCTCACTTATACAGCTATAACCATATCAAAACAGAACAGAATTCAATATTACAGAATGTATTTGTTCAGTATTTTAAAACATAGTGGCCAGAACTGAACCAGCTTTTAAGGAGCAAATGTAAGGGTATCAATGTATTTGGTATTCTGTAAGGAAGAATCTTTAAATATGTAAACCCATAGTAGCAATTTAGTATGTGCTATAGTCAGCAGCATGGAACATTACTTTTGTATAGAAACCCTTCTATCTTTGTCCTGTATGGAAAGAATAATATTCCTATAGCTTTGCCTGTAAATTTTCCTATTGTAGAAGCAACTCAAACTGGCAAACTCAAGCAGGCGATCTAGTAGTGAATACTTTAAATCTCTCCAAGAAAAAATAGACTTCAAGATTTCTCCACTGGTGTAGCTATAACTATATTCACACCTTTTGGCAGAGGAGCATGAAATGAATCTCACACCAAATGAACACTTCTGTTTTGGCAGTTTTCTAACTGCAACATTACCCTGTGTCAATGTAAGGTAGAAATGGAATTGAACAGCATGACAGCAAAATATGTAGAATTTATTCAGTAAGGTCAGAAAAGTTCAGGGAACACTCTGATGGACTTTAAAAGCCAGACGAATTCACAGCACAACAGCAAGCAGTAAATACAAAGTAAAAGACATTGCAGAAAAAATCTGAAGGAACTGTGCATCTCATAGAGTTCTACATGCATTGTATATACCCAGTAAAGTTCTCATTATAGAGAAGTCAGTGAATACTATTTTCTGTATGAAGCCTGGTTAAAGAGTATGACAGGAAATGTGGAAATTCATTATATTAATGCAAAGAGCTTATAAGTTTTCATTGTCATTTTAAAAAAATGGCTAAAAATCCATAAAAATGCAGGAAGAACAGTATTTTGATCAAGAGAAAAGCAAATTTTCTACAAAAAGTGACTGAAACAATTGGGATGGATGGCGTAATTTACAGCAAGAAAAAAGACGAGAATGAAACTCAAATATGAAAGGACATGACAAAAAGTATGAACTAGTGAATGAGATAAAAAGAATATATTGAGGATAACTCCTTATGTCCTAATGAAAGAGCAAATAAGTTATTCAGGGAAGTAAAAGGTGGAAATTTCAAAACTGATGAGTTATGCTTTGACACGAATCATAGTTTCGCTGTCAAATTCAATGCATAATAATACAACTCTGCTTATGTGTGAAGGTGAGGGGTTTTGTGTGTTTATCTAGACACCAATTTTATATGCACCTATGTGTATAGAAACATTCACACACCTAAAATTTCTTTGAATATGACTAATCTTTTATCGCAACAAGAATTTGGTTTTATATTTAACTTTGCATTGAGTGAAGAGTGTATACCTGAAAAGCTAAAGAGTATGGTGTTGTTATAACACATTATAGCAAATAGGTAGTTGTAGATGGTGATCAGGTCTCCCCTCAGCCTCCTCTTCTCCAGACTAAATAACCCCAGTTCCCTCAGCTGCTCCTCATATGACTTGTGTTCCAGACCCCTCACCAGCTTGGTTGCTCTCCTCTGGACATGTTCCAGCAATGCAACATCTTTCTTGTAGTGAGGGGCCCAAAACTGAACACAATATTCGAGGTGCGGCCTCACCAGCACCAAGTACAGGGGCATGCTGGCTCATATTCAGCCAACTGTCAACCAGTACCCCCAGGTCTTTTTCTGCCAGGCAGCTTTCCAGCCACTCTTCCCTAGGCCTGTAGCGATGCCTGGGGTTGTTGTGACCAAAGTGCAGGACCCAGCACTTGGCCTTGTTGAACCTCATACAGTTGGCTGCAGCTCATTGATCCAGCCTGTCCAGGTCTCTCTGCAGAGCCATCCTCCCCTCGAGAAGATCAACACTGCCACCCAGTTTGGTGTTGTCTGCAAATTTACTGAGGGCACACTCAATCCCCTCCTCCAGGTAATTGATAAAGATATAAAACAAGACTGGCCCTAGAACTGAGCCCTGGGGGACACCGCTTGTGACCGGCCGCCAACTGGATTTAGCTCCATTCACCACGA